GAGTCTTTACCATCATGTCATAATTGATTGAGAGCTGGCCCTCCCGCAGGTGTCTAGGACTGTAACTTGTTCTGGAGCCTCTAGTAGATTTGAGCCTCTAGTATAGTCTTTGGGTTGGGAATACAACTCTATAGAATAGGCCTAGAAATAATGTTAACTCAGTGAGCTAGACCTCAGAATATTTGGAATTTATTTGCTGTGCTAGTTAAGTTAGAAACATTATCTCATATGCCTTACTATTTAATCTTTTCATAAGCAGAGGATAATTTCATTTAATCTGCAAATGGATTAATGAAATAGAATGCTATAGATTAGAAAGCATAGTATATTTTAAAATGTAGACTTAAGTTTTAGGTCTATGCTATCCAGTGCAGTAGCCTCTAGACCTGTGTATCCATTGAACACTTTAAATTTGGCTAGGCTGGTTGTGATTTACTACACATATAAAGTGTTGTAAGCAGTCATTGAACTGGTTCTGACTGATAACTAACCTCTGTGCAACAGAATAAAGCATCACCTGTCTCTGCCCCATCCTTCGGTCATTATTAAGTGTGAGCTCATCGCTGCTGCTACTGCTTCACTCCATCTCCTTGAAAACCTTCATCTTTTCCCCCAACCCCTCAGCTTTCCCAAGCACAATGTCCTTTTGCAGGGACAAGTCCCTTCGGAAAACAAGCCTAAAGGATGTGAGAGCTTCTCCAGAAGCACGCAGGCTGCACTTCCTCCAAGAAAGACTGTTTTCCTGGCAATCTGTGAGTTAGTTAATAATTTGAAGGCATCACTACTTCATTCATGCTGTCACGTGCCTAGAAGGTGATCGAAGATCCCATGGCTTGGGTTAGGCTACTTAGTTCTCAAGGTGACATCTATGATTTTAGCATTTTAAAGAAGTTGTTTTGAGCAGCAGATTTGACCAAGGCAGTTCAAAACTGAGGAAAATTACTTAGATTTCAGTAATGTTACAGGATAAATTATTTTTTTTAAAAATCTAAAGACTTTGGAAATGATAACATTCTGTACAAGATTTGCTCAATTTTTAAAGCACTTTAATTTACACCAAAACCAGTAAAAATAGGGACAAATCGTCCTGGTTTTCATGGTCCTGACCTGGTGACGTTAATAAGCACGCACCTTTAATGAGCTAAATGCCTGTGTGGTGCAGTTCCTAATGGCCATTTCCTGTGCTCTTTTCTTGCAGTTGAGCGAAGGAGAAGGTTTAATATAAATGACCGCATTAAAGAACTCGGTACTTTGATCCCCAAATCAAATGATCCGTAAGTACAATTGCGTGTTAATCTGCATCATACATTTTTTTTGTACCTTAATGTGGTTTTTCTCCCATATATTGTAAAAAAAAAAAGTTATTGGAAGCTAGAGTAAAGAATTACCCAGCAGACCCTTGAGATCCAATATAATTTTTACATTTTTCTTTTACTTCCTTTCATTGAGCAAAAGTTTCAAGGGAAATGTACCAGATTGTCCAGAAGGGTTATTGGACATAAAGAGTTGCTGAATGTTACAAGATAGATTTCTGAAACCTGAAAATCCTTGACATATGAATACTAAATAAAACACTTACTTTAAATTTCATAGTAACCTCTAGAGAGGTTTCAGTAGCTGTTAAAAGGGAGGTTCATTGTCGAGTTGCGTTTCAGCTTGCGTAATATCTATAGACACTGATGAAGAGATACTGGAAAATAAATGGTTAATGAAACTCAGCAGATTAAAGGTCAAATGTTTTTATGTAAGCTGGTATGTTCTTTGTTTTACCCTCAAGGAAGAAGTTTAATCCCCCTGTGAGTGTGGCAGCTAATTTGGATTTTAACTTTAACTACCACCCTCCCCTGTTCAGAGATATCACTCATGATGTTTATTTTCTCATATCTCCCTCCCCACCCTTATGGTTACCTACAGTATCAGCAAAAAAAATGCAACAAATGCACAGTTTTATGCATTAGACATTGGCTCATGTAAAGGCATAGGCTAGCAGGTGTATATGTTTTAACAGCCTATGCAGGCCTATGAAATTAGCCCTTGAATATGACCTTTCAGCTACCTAATAAAATGTAAAGATGAAATCAAGCATTATCCATGCAAGTCTTAGTAAATCTGCAGTTCACATTATTGTCAAAGAATTTGTGGCAAAATAAAGTAGCCCATTGTGAGGTGGTTTTGATAAATGTTTAAGCACAATTTCCATCTTCAACATTTTGCTTTCCCAGGTTTCAAGGAAAGCCATTTTGAACCTCACAGCATTCAAATTCTCAGTTCTGCAGCACAAATTTATCCTACTAAGGGGCTGTGACCTTCATTTCCTATAGTCAGTCTTGCATGATAGTTGAAATTGAATTCCCATTTTCCTGTTCTTTATCAGCTTTCACTTTTTAGCATATTCTTTTAAACTATACCATGTGAATCTCTTTAGCAACGTCTTATGAAATTATGAGGCTGCAGTGAAAGCTTATATTTGCATATCTTCTCTTTCCATTGTACTAGGATAGTTATGTATTTAGAATCTGAGATGATAATGATCTTTAATTGCTGGCATTGTTTTAAGATAAAACATGCTATATCTGGGTGGTGGTTTTCAGTGTCAGGTCTAGGGAGCATGCCAGAGGGTCTAGCTCAGTTCTAGCTGATCTTCCCTTCTCTTACCATTGGGCACATCTGCTTTTGTTGATTTTAGGTGTTGGGGAGCTGTATATACCTTTTTAAAAAAAATTACAAGGGTAGAGAGAATTTTCATTTAAAAAAAAAAGTCTGTTTGCCCTTTACGCCCACAAGTGATTAGTCTCAAAGGACGAAGTGAGACCCAAGTGAATTGGTTGAGATAGCCATTTCATAAATAAAACTTTCAAGTTGCTACTTACATGTTCCAGTACAAGTTCACACCTCATTGTCCTAATTGGGCATTGTTCATTATAATTGTATTTCTCTGTGGCCATCAAAGTTTCTGTGACTTTGTTCTTAGCTCAGAAAGTTTGCTCTCTGCTCCCCTCAAGTAGCTCAGATACCTCCCTGAGTTGCCATCTTTGGTGCTTACGCCCCAGAGATTAGCCTCAAGAATTCTCTGAGGTCTGTACTTCTGTCTCTCTTGGGAGGGTATCTGTTTTGTTCTTCATCCAGCCATGTGAGGATCAATTACTTGTTTTAATAGCACTCCATTTGCGTGTTTCACTTGATATTTCCGATCTGCCTTTAGGATCTGTATATTAAATTAGTTTTGTTTTCATAATTGTTGTTACTGTTGTGAATATTTATCTATATATGTGTTTTGAGTAAGTAAAGCACTATAGAGAGATATTATACTACTGTGTATTTAATTAGAAAAAGAATTCATCAGAGATACATCCTGTCTCCATACCTTTTCAATCTTTATGTGGAACAGATCATTCGAGAGAGTGGACTTTATGAGGAGGAGTGTGGCATCAGAATCAGAGGAAAACCCATCAGCAATCTGCACTATGCAGATAAACCTTGCTTGCAAAAACTGAGGAGGACCTCAAATATTTGTTGCAGAAGGTTAAGGACTGTAGCCTTCAGGGTGGATTAATCTAAACATCAAGAAGATAAAGATTCTCACCACTGAGCTTAATTGAGGCAGGAGACTCAATGACATATAACAACAACAACAATCATTTTTCTGGATGCTCAACATTTTTCAGATTGCTTTTGCCTGTGTTTTTAGGCCTTTCTTTATTGTGGATTGAGAGGAGATTGAGGTTGTTAATAATTCTAACTTGCTAGGTTCCACAATCAATACTCTTTAGTACTAGCAGTCAGGAAATAAAAAGAAGAATTGCATTGCAGAAGTCTGCTGTCAGAAGCAGAAGCAGAAGCACTTGCTCGGACGTCAGTCTAGAAACTAAGGTGCACCTGATCCAGGCCGTGGTCTTTGCAGTTACTTGCCATGAATCAGAGAACTGGACAGTGATTATGGATTACAGAAGAAGAAGTGAGGCCTTTGATTTGCAGTGTTGGAGAAGAGTATTGAACATAATATGAATAGTCAGAAGAACACACAGATCTGTCTTGGATAGGATGAAACCAAGTTTCTCTTTGGAGACTAGGATTACAAAGCTCCATCTCACGTAGTTTGGGCACGTGGCCAGGAGAGACCAGTCCTTGGAGAAAGACATCATGCTTGGAAGGGTGGAGGGCTAGCGCAGGAGAGAAAGACGCCAGAAGAGATGGACTGATACAGTAAATGGGATAAGGGGGCTCTGTGTGTCAGAGTCAGTGAGACTGGCTCAGGACAGGGCAGGCTTCACAGCTGTTGTACATAGGGTCGCTTGAGCCATAGGTAACTTAACAGCACATAACAGCAAAAACAAGTCATTTTTCTGAGATAACTAATTTTTAAGATTCCTTTTGCCGTGTTGTTTTGCCTTTCTTCATTTCCTCACTCATGAGCACATTAGAGCTGCCCTGTTATCTGTTTGACTCCATAGCACAGTGACGTATGTGCAGATGGAAATCCCATCCTTGCCTCCGCCCTCCTCATGGTTGCCGCCATATGTAAGCTCATTGTCTACATCATCTTGTCAGTTCCCATTAGAGTATAATGATTATTAACTGAGAGGCACCAAGTTCAAGGTTTCTGATTTTGAATTTCAATCTGTTCTCTTACTAGGTTGTCTGACATTGGGGAAGAAACTTGTACATTATTTTTCTCATGTTTTAAAAACTTAAAAGCAGAACTCAAACTTATCGTTGTCAAATTGAAATCGAATCATAGGTGACCTCTCCACCAGGTTTTCAGAGGTTGCAAACACATGGGAAGAGATTGTCCATCTTTTCTTTTCAGAGCAGCTAGCAGATTGTAACCGCCTGCCTGTGGGTTGGCAGCTCCACTCCTACTCACAAGGCCACTAGAGCTCTCTTGTTTGAACAAAAATTATCAGAATATCCCTATATAATCTAGGAACTTTTGTTTCTTTGTTTTTAAAGAATTTTTTATGTAGATGGAGAAGAGGACGTTGGTCTATGTGCCTTAACATGCCTCTGGAAACTCTGTGAACTTAGAGAAATGCAAGCCCTTTGAGTTTTAAGCATTGACTTGTAGTTCTCTGGTGGATATTATTGTTACTAATTATCTGTTAAAGAACAGAGTCGCTATGAGTCATGCTCACTCGATGCTTCTTAAGGACATGTGCCTTAGCTTCCCCCATCTGTAAAATGGGTATACTAATAGTATACTAATAGTATTACTCACTGATATTGTCATAACTCAGTGACCTACAAAATAGTTATAAATGTATCTGTCACATAGTAAAAACTATTGGAAGATACTTTTTATACTTCTATGGAGCTCTGGTGGCTTAGTGATAAGTAGTTGTGCTGCCAGCTCAAAGACAGGTGGTCCAAATCCACTAGCTGCTGTGCAGAAGAAAGAAGGGCAGTCTCCTCTCTTGATTTGGACCAACCCATAGCTGATCCTCCTGTGGATTTTCAGAGGCAGTTAATTACACAAGAGAAGATTGCCCATCCTTCTCCCATGGAGCAACTCGTGGATTCAAACCGTGTGCCTTTGGCACTACAGCACAGCTTCTTGCCATATATTAGACAACTTTAACAAGAGTGCTATTACCATTTTGTAGATGAGCAGAGAGAGAGACAGAGAAGTCAGATACTCTGCTTATGATTTTTTTAAATGATAAAATCCAGGGCTGTTGAACACGAGGAAACAGTGGGGTACTGGGTGTTTGTTTTGTTCTTTTACCTTAAGTTCTGAGTCTGCCTTGTGCTTGCTCTGTAATCACTGGCCCGCTGAACCCCCTCTTTTAGCATGTGTGTTTGTGTGGATTAAATAACATACGGATGGGAAACAGTGCTACAGCAAGCACTGCATGGCCAGTTTAATGCTGTCACTGCTCTTACATCTTAAGAACGTTAAAATTCCATTTTTAAGAAAATGAGTTACATTTTGGTGGAATCTTAAAGGCTAAAGTCTGTTTTCCTCTCTTTTCCTCAGAGACATGCGCTGGAACAAGGGAACCATCCTGAAAGCATCCGTGGACTATATTCGAAAGCTGCAGCGAGAACAACAGCGTGCAAAGGAGCTTGAAAACCGACAGAAGAAATTAGAGCACGCCAACCGGCATTTACTGCTCAGAATTCAGGTCTGTGGCCCGTGTTGTGTGACTGTTGTTGTTGTTGTTATGGACTGTAGAGTCCTAATGGGACCCATAGCTCACCCTCCTGCAGGTAGTAATTTGCACCAGAAGTGATTGCTCTTCTTCCATGGAGCAGCTGGTGGATTTGAACAACATGCTTTTGCGTTAAAAGCACAATTTCTTACCACTAAGCCACCAGAGCTCCCCATGTGACTGTTATTGTCATCAAGTCAGCTCCACCTCACGGCAGCCTGTGTGCAGCTGAACATAGTGCGGTCCCATCCCATACCCTGCTGTCCTCACTCTGCTCTGTACTTAACCCCATTTCTGGGGCCACTGTGTATTTTAAGAGTTCAGGTTGCCTAGTGGGTAAGGAATCCACTACCCAAAGTCATTCAAATCCACTAACTACTGCAAGGAATAAAAATGGGCAGTTTCCTCCCATATGAATTATGTTGTTGTTATGTGCCGTCGAGTCGCTTGCTACTCATGGCGACCCTGTGTACAACAGCCCTAAACTCCACTGTGTCCTGTGCCAATCGCACTGTCTCTGACACTCCCATCCCAATTATCCCAGTCACTGAATCAATCCACCTCATAGAGGGCCTTCCTCTCCTGCGCTGTCCCTCCACCCTCCCAAGCATGATATCCCTCTCCAGGGACCGGTCCCTCCTCACAACATGTCCAAAGTATGTTAGACGGAGCCTCAGAATCTTTGCCTCCAAGGAGCCACCCGGTTTAACCCTTTCCAGGACAAATCTGTTTGTTTTCCTAGCAGTCCATGGTATTCTCAATACTCTTCTCCAGCACCACATCTCAAAGGCATCAATTCTCCTTCTATCCTCCTTGGTCATTGTCCAACTCTCTGATGCATAACAAGTGATTGCAAAGACCATAGCCTGTATCAGACGCACCTTAGTTTCCAGAGAGACACCATTGCTCTTCAGTACTTTGGAGAGGTCCCTAACAGCAGACTTTCCCATGGCAATGCACCTTTTAATTTTCTGGCTGCTGGTGCCAATACTGTTGACTATGGAGCCAAGCAAACTAAAGCTGTGTACAATCTCAATCTCTTCACCATCCATCCTGATGTTGCCAATTGGTCCAGTGGTGAGAATCTTTGTCTTCTTGACATTGAGCCTCAATCCATATTGTAGGCTGCAGTCCTTGACACTCTGCAGCAGGCTCTGCAGGTCCTCTTCAGTTTCAGCAAGCAGGGTTGTGTCATCCGCATACGGCAGAGGAGGTTGATATGAATTATAGCTTCTGAAAACCTGCTGGAAGGTCACCTGTGAGTCAATTCCAACTCCACAGCTGTAAGTTGAGTTGATATCTTGATTGTTTTCTAGCATTACATGAGACAGTGTCCTGTTGCAATCTATAAGATTTTCATGAACTATCAGAAATAGATTGCTAGATCTTTCTTCCTAGTTTGTCTCAATCTAGAAGTTCCACTGAAACCTATCCATTGCAGGTTACCCTACTTCCTACATCACCTAGCACATAAGCCAGTACAATACAGCAAGTGACTGATGTGGTTGTTCCATGCCGTTGGCTTCAGAATCATAGGAAAGAAAAAGAAAATCCATAAACAGTTGACATGCATGGGCTTCATGCTTGTTAAACGTAAAGATACCTTGGTACTTGAGTCTGTGACCAAAGCCCATGTTCACATGGGATCTGAGGACACCTAGTGGTCATGCCTACACATTGTGGTGTTGGTGAAGAATATCCAAATGCACCATGGTCCACCAGAAGAGTGGACAAAGAAATCTGTCTTGGAAGAAGAACAGCCAGAATGTGTCTTAGAAGCAGGAGTAGTGATGCTCTTCTCGTGTATGGACATGTTAACAGGTGGATGCAGTTCCTGGAGAGGGCATTGTGCTTTATAAAAAGTAGGGACAATGAGAAGAGATGGATTGACGCAGTTGCCACAGCAATGGGGTCAAACACAGCAGTGACAGGCACTGGATGGGCCAGTGCTGTTTTGTTTCTGAGAGTTAGGACCACTGTGACAGCACCTAATGACAGAGATAATAAGGGCATAACTCTTAAAAATAGTAATACAGAGTGGAATTGTCTATATATCTAACTTTGTCTTGGGGGTGTGGAGGAGGGAGAAATACTGATTTGTATGTGCAGTTGGCCCAGTAATCCATTAAGCAAGTGTGGTGAGCAATATAAGCATGAGTTGGTATACACACGCCTTCTCTGGGTGCTCAGCTTCTGATGCTAAATTGAAAGGCACAGCTTCCTCTGAAACTGTCAGAAAAACTAGTTCTGCTCTCAACTTTTTTAATGGAGGAACTTTTTTAAGGTAGTTTTCGTTTACTTGCTGACTCTGGAATGCCATCTACAAGTCAGTCGGTGACGATGTATCTTTTTCTTGTTCTCAAGAAAGCCTTTGAACACGAGTAGAATAAGTTTTACTGTTTTTTGGTGTGTGGTTGGTTTTTTTGGGGTTTTTTTGGCCATAGAATCCAATGTTTTTCAGGTTTCAAGGACAGCTATTTATGGAGTCATTTTATGAAGGATAAATGTAATGAGTCAGTGTGCCAGTTTCGAGGTGTGTGTGTGTGTGTGTGTGTGTGTGTGCATTACCTGGCTGTGTTGATCCAGTCATTGACCCTCAGAGTGATTCATTTCTCATGCTTCCCGTGGCGCTGTCTCACTGTAAGCGCCTCATCTTGTCTTCCCTCAGTGTCCCAGCTGTAGGGTAAGGAGGCAGTTCTCCTCACGGGGCTGCTGATAGAGCGCTGTCTGCATGTGGACTGTAGTCACAGCACCCTGTGTATGTCAGAGCAGAACTGTGCTTGCAGGGTTTCAGGATCAAATTGTCAGACATTCTGAAGAGTGTGTGTGGGTGGACTCGAACCTCCAGCCTTTAGGTTAGCAGCTGAACCCATCTATCGTTTGACTACACAATGGTCTTCTGGGAAAAGAGCTAGAGGTTATGTGTAATTTGATCATGTTCCTCCATGTTTTCTTGTTTTTGGCTTTTGTTGTTTGGTTTGCTATGTTATTGCAAATAAATTGTTTTTGTTAGTTCACATTGAGTCCGCTTTGTCTCATGACAGTGTGGTGTGTCAGGGAACCATTGTCTGGCCGTGCACCGTCATCATCACCATCTTGGCATGTTTTAGTCCACTGATGCAGTCATGGTGTGTTCTGAGTGCTTTCTAAGATAGAGGACCACTCATTTAGAATTTTATCAGACAGTATTCAGTTTCCGTTGGCTGATTTTACGCAATGCATGACCAATCCTTTCTTCCTAGTCTCTCTGCGTGTAGAAACTCTATTGGAACCTTTCTACCAAACACTGCTGGTATTTCAAACACCAGTAGCATAGCTTTCCAGCATTAAAGCAACGTGGACGCCACCAGAATACGGCAAACTGGCAGATGGGTGGTAGCTTAGATAAATAGCAATCATTATTGAACCTCTTGAACTCAGTATATCCATTTACAAAAGCAGTGTTTATGTATGTATTACTCCTTTAACTGTAATATGCATTACAGTGTAGGACTATTTTGAAAGAGAAATGAGATCTTGTTTTGTTTTAAGGTTGCAAACATGTACTCATGTAAAATATTAATATTGTTAAATATGTAAACTGTAAATCCAGAGGGGGGAATGTCCTGGTTTTCTTCCAGGGGCACTGGGAGGCCACCAGTTAGCACTTTTGTATATCACGGAAAACATTATTAATTGGGAACACTCTGCTGTGCCATCAGCCATAGTGGTCAGGATGTGATTTATCACATCATTTAGAAATCTAAGCAATGCTTTACTCCACTGATAAACATTTTTTAATTAAACAACAAAGGATTAGGGTGTATTTTATGAGCAGGCAAACTGTCCATGTGTGGGTCCTGTTCTTATTAGTGTGGTGGTGGTGTTCATTTACGGAGGTGAATTTCCAACTTGGGCCTGGGAGCTTCTTTCCATTTTCTCTCTAACTGATGCATGCAGAAATTTTTACAGAAGAAAGGACATGAAACCTTAATAACAGTGGAAGTGCTATTATATTAAACAGCCCGGGGCTTGAAAATGATGCCTGGAGAGAGTTCCAATCGCACCTCTAGACAAGAGAAATACCATCTATTACTGCTAAGTCCAAGCCACCTACTAAGTATTTATTTCCTAGTCAAATAGTAGCCATTTGAAAAGTAAAACATAGAATTGAAAGGAAAGGGGACAATTTAGCATTCTTTTAAAATAACCACAATGACTGACAAGAAGTGTGTGTCTGCTGAGCACTGCACAACTTGACACTTTGGCTTCAGATGGGATGCCAACCTCCTGTGCTACTTTGTTTTTATCATAGCAACTTTTAAAAACAGTATTGCTGTGTATTATAATGTTTTCTAAGACTATGTTGCACAATGTGTTCTGCTGAACAGTGAATGATCTTGGGTTTAGTAGTTCTCATAAGTGAAATCACATCCTTTGCCCTGTCAGTTCGTTGCAGCAGCTCCAGGCACTACAGGGCAGAGTATGGGAACCATGAAATGCTGCTGTATAATACTGTACTTTGATGAGTTCACTTGTTAGATCTTGTTTTCTATTTTTTAAGTCTCATTGTGAACATTGATATGAGATCTTGTGTCTCTGTTTTCAAAATACATAATATTGTCAACAGACCATCTTAAAAAAAGTGATATACTACCAGCTTCAATTTTTTGTCCTTACTTGATTCTGACTCTTGGTACATGCTACAGAGACGTTTGCTATGTGGGGTTCTCTTGGCTTTGCAAAGGCGGGTTTGCAAAAGAAGCTGAGCAGGCCTTTTTCCCACATCACTGCAGAGTATCTCTGATATCATTTAGGACCACAGGAGTTACTGATTGAGACAAAAGCCCCTAAGTTGTATTATGAAATTTCCCCCTCCCAAGTGTCTGATTTTCCCCCCCTCCTTTTCTCCTAGGAACTTGAAATGCAAGCTCGAGCTCATGGACTTTCCCTTATTCCACCCATGGGTCTCTGCTCTCCAGACTTGGTGAATCGTGTCATCAAGCAGGAACCCGTCCTTGAAAACTGCAACCAAGACCCGCTGCAGCATCATGCTGACCTCACATGCACAACCACCCTTGATCTCACAGATGGTACCATCTCCTTCAATAGCAGCCTTGCCTCTGGGACGGAGGGCAGCCAGGCCTACAGTGTCCCCACAAAAATGGGCTCCAAACTGGAAGACATCCTGATGGATGACACTCTTTCTCCTGTGGGCGTAACAGATCCGCTTCTTTCCTCGGTCTCACCTGGAGCTTCGAAGACCAGCAGCCGGAGGAGTAGTATGAGCATGGAAGAAACCGAGCATGCTTGTTAGCAGGGCTGCCTAATTGCCGTTCTCATTGACTGCTTCCTTCCTTGATCTATAGATTTAATAATTTCACCCAAATGGGGTTCTCCTGATAATTTTCCTTTAATATGATATTTTTTTCATGCTTTCTCAATAGCCCAGGATATATTTTATTTTTAGAATTTTGTGAAATGAACTTGTATATTCTGTTTTACAACTACAGATGCCTCCAAAGTATTGTACAATGAATGTACATTATCTGTGAACTAAATTCTCCATGGACTTGAGCTTTCTGATCCAAGAGCATTTTGTGGCAGAGATGTTTCTGTCCACTTTTTTATTCAGAGGACTCTCAGTTTGCTATTTTATGCCTGTGACTTACTTGGAAATTACGTGTAAATTTTAATAGAATGTAAAGCAACAAAAAAAAAAGGAAGAGGAGAAGGAAGAAAAGGAATCGACACTAATCTTTTTCTATTTTCTAAGTGTGTTGATTCAGTGGTACTGCCTTAAAGAGAAAGTACCCTGCAAGCTTTGGGCAGTCTTTATACTGCAAACACTTTAAAGAAATACTGTGTTCTGTAAAAGATGAGGAAAAAAAGTGCAGCCATTCTCTAAGGACTGTCTGGTTAGGATCTGCAGTGCAGCTGAGGCGGAGCAGGGCTGGCCCCGGAGGCCAGGTGGTCAGCATCCTCCTTCGTGGCTAGATTCTGTTCTCTTCATCAATGATGTCACTCGGTTCTTCATAAAATTAGTTTTATTTTGAAATGGAAACTGATGTCCTCTCAAAGTAAGATACTGAGAGCACGGAAAGTCTTTTACTTTTTTAAAAAAAAAAGTGTTTTAATTCTTGTTTGTAAGAAAAACCAAGCTGGGCACCTTTCTGATTGGCTTTATGACTTTTTTTAGAAAATTTTAAAATTATGTTTTATTTTTTATTTTGATTTGTACAGATTCTTTATTATCATTGTTCTTTTCCACATATATGTATCAATTTGTAAGAATGTGCATCTTAAACTGAGACATTGTCAATATTTTTACAACTCACTGGTGGTTTTCCTCATTATTTATACATGAAGGAGCCTTTTCGTCAGCATCCACGGAGAGCTGGCAAACACTTTGTACATGGCTGTCTCATTCAGGACTGCGCTCCAGACATTTAAGGAGTAGTATTAATAGGCTAAATCCAGACTTCTTAGAAAAAAATAAACTTCCATATTTATTTTTAGTGATAAAAAATTAGCAATATTCTTGTAGCTTTAGTGTGCCCATTTTTGTCGTTGAAATTGGGGTTTATTTCAGCAAACCTGCTGAATTTTTTTAATACAACAATACTGTATTGGCAAATTACTGTTACTTGATAACAATGTTTTAACAAGCAGCAGTGTTATAAAGTTAGTTGCAGTGCATTATCTACTTGTGTAGTCCTATGCAATAACAGTAGTGTCAGGTGTATTCTGTCAGGCCTAGGGGTTTTCTGCCAATGGCATATGGTGTTATGTACCAGGCTGTGGAAGGGGATTTCCGAGGAACAGCCTACAGTGGAATAGCTAGTGGCATAAAGCATATCCATTCAGAATGAAGTGCCTTAAACATAGCAGTCGTCTTTTTGGGGGGACTAGCACTGACTGAACTGTAAGGAGGAGGAAGTTCAGAATGAATGGTACCTTCAGTCCAGAGGGACACGTAGTATGGTGCCTAAGTAGATGATAAAAAAGCTTCAAATTTTCCTTTAGGTATTTTTAATATCAAATATATTTTAGTGACAAGAGTGCCAACTTCATTCATCAGGAAACCTTTTTCAGGAGGATTTGTTGTGTATTTCATTTTCCTTCAAAGTATTTAAATTACAAATGTGAATTGGTGGTGAGCAGTGGAAAGTTCAGCAAGAAGGGGTGTTGTCAGCTTACATAAATATAATCAGCTGCGTAGTTCCCATGCACATTGGGCATTGAGAATCTTTGGAATCTTTTGGAAACATTGATGATGCTCTCAGTTAAATAGCTTTATTACTTAAGGGGGTAGGGAAAATAAGTTCCCATTCTTTCAGCCCCCTTAATTGTATAGCTCTTTTTATTAGAATAGTGATGCAGATCTGCATGAACAGCAAATTGTGCCATAGTGTTCACTGATACAATCATAGCATTGTCTATTTTTCTCTTCATATTTATATGGGGGGGGTAGGTGCAGAGGTCAAAGATTGCAATGCTATTATGCTAGTTTTTCTTAAGCTAATTTTGAAGGATTTTAAAAAACAGAATTGGGTTGACTAGCTCATGGTCAAGGAACTACAGCCAGAGCCAAGCAATCTTACAGAAGTCTTTGTTTAGAGAGAGTGTGGCATCTTGCACCACTGCCCTGACTTCTACAGCTCCTGTGCATGCCACTGCCCACGTCCTTGTTCCCTTGAGCTTAAAGACAATTTCTCAAGTGGCAGCTGAGTGAGCCCAGGAGAATACTGCAACCTTGGGAGTGGTTTTATTTCTTTCTTTTTTGCCAAGTTGTGTGTGGATTTGTTGTGGGAATATTTAAGCCAAGAGAGGGTGTTTTGGGCTTGCTCTTTTGTTACAAGAGAATGACCCACACCATCCTCCCATCTCTAGAGTGCAGAATTATGACTCGGGTTGGGCCTCTGATGGAGTTTCCAAAATGCCAAAATGCCCACCTGCCTTTGGGTCAGGCAATGAAAATAGCAAACCTTTTAACTTTGCCAAAAACCACACAACACTGTCATGCATAGGATGACACCATTCTTACTAGTTGTTTTAAGGTAATAAAGCAATAAGAACAAATAAAATCTATAGGATGTTACAAGATAAAGTAAAAGCACAAAAGAATGCACTTAAGATTTATGGAACAATGCACTGGGGAAAAGTTGATGTTGATAACAGTATAAAACAAAAACCCTATTTCTTGAAAAAATTACAAATGACTGTCTCTTGTGGACACTTGGTACTGTAATGTTAATAGTCACTGCTGTGGGGTGCAGCAATAATTTCTGTATGGTCCATAGCACCATATATTATGGATCAATATTAATGTATCCAATGAAATAATTGAACTGTGTTCTTGATAGCCTCATTAAAGCATTTGGTTTTTCACAGAATTGTGACCAGTTGTGTTTGGTTTAATGCCAATTTTTAATGGATTTGCTTTATCAAAAAATTGTAGCACACATTTTCTTTTTAGTAACTGACAAATTACATTTTTAAAAAATTATTGTAATGCTGGTAAGTATTTTTTGCTTATTTTTAAATGTCCCTCTAGGATGTTACTTTTCCCTTTGAAATGTTTTCAGTGACTTTATGAGTTTGAATCAAAAGTACTGTAATTATGATTCTTTTTTTCTCCTGAATTTAGGGAAATTTTCAACTATCAGTGCCTAGAATTTGTTGTAGATGGAGGAGTTTAAAATGTTCAATGACAGCTGCTTTGATAAAAAAAGAAATTGTAAGAGAAATTCTTGCATATTTATAGAAAAATACTGGGATTTTAAAATACAAATTTATAATCATGGAAGCTTAATATACTAAGGCTGGGGGCTCCTGGCTCGGCCTCTCTCCCCTTAGTGCAGTAGTTAACAATCATTTGATAAATGCTGGATGTGAATCAGGAAGTGTCAGACAAAACAGATCTTTATTCCCTAGTTAAACCTTAAACTTCTGCCCTATTAAGAAAATATTCTGACTTAACCTCTGGAGAAAACACACAGAAAACTTCCTGTAACACTTCTGATCTGACTGTCAGCTCATTTTTTAGGTTTCTTTTTTCCTCCCTTAAAATATACAATAATCAAAGCTTTTTTTCTTTTTGAAGTTATTTGCATTATGTATAATTCCCATAAATAATGTGGTTTGTGATGTCTTAAAAATGGGGTAAAATCAGGAAGATTTCCTGCCTGGATGAGAAGTGTTCTGGATGAAATGGAAAGGCTAAGTTTTAAGTTAGAGCTGTCCTCAAGAAGTGTGTGGTTCTTCCTGGTATTTGTAGTTCAGTGATAAAGCAATAAGATCAAGGACAAGATGCAGGTAGTTTCTCCCCTGCTGTTGGCTGGTAATGTTCAGTTGAAAGGCTGTAAGTATCCTCAATCTCCCAGCTCTCCAACACAGTTTTGATACACCAGTGCTACCTGAACCGTAGACATTGACCAGCTTTCAGTAATCTATTTCACATCTACATCCTTATGTTTTCTTAACTTTTAAAATAAGCCAACCTGACTTTTAGAAAAAGACATTCTATCCATGTAATGAAAAGCATAGCTCTCAGCTTGCCTTTGTGATTTAGAATCTTAAATTGTGCCGCATTCCAGGGGGTGAGATTTTAGGTGAGTACGTAACTGCTTGATGTTTTAATCCCCTTTCTGTTACATGGAGATGAATAACAGTAGCTACCAATAGTGGTCTATATGTGTGTGTATGTGATAAATTGTATGTGTGGTAAATTTTGACATTTTGAAATTTTTACATATCCTATTCAATGTTATTCGTCATGTTGATCAATCACTCTGCCAAATCATTTCCAGAATTTCCATTACCTTTCCCACAGAAGCTCTGTGCCCCATAAATACATAGTGGTCTCTTTTAAAGATCATTTGAGGTATTTCTAAAACTGACACACAAGAAATGGTCAGCAAACAATATCTGTTCTTTGTGTTGTCATTTATTAGGTGCCCTCAGGTTAAGATTTAACAGCAACCCTATGAACAACGGGTCTGAACACTGCTAGCCTGTGCCATCTTTCTCATCTGTGACATGCTTGAGGCCATTTTTGCAGTTACCTTTCCAAGCATGATGTCCTTTTCCAAGAAATGGCCCTTACTAACAGCATACCCAAAGCATTTGACAAAGTTTCACTGTTCTTGCCTCTAAAGAACTCTCTGTGTTTTCTCTGAGATGTATATTTATTCTTTTGACAGTCTGTGGGATATTCAGTAGTAGTTTCTGACACCACAACTCAGAGGCATTGATTTCTTTTGTCATCTTTATTCACCAGTAAGTTATTGAAAAGGTCATTGCTTGGCTCAGGAATACCTTAGTCTTTAAATTGATATAATTTCTCCTTAGTACTTTGGAGAGGTCTTTGACAGCAGACTTTCCCAGTGCAATGTGTCTTTTGGTTCTTTTGTCATTGGTACAAAGTGTGTTGATTGTGGATCCAAGCAAGATTTAATGATTGACAATGTCAGTCTTTATATATTATGATATTGCCTATCAGCCCAGTGGTGGAAATATATGTAAGTATTGTGATATTGTTGCTGATGTTAGACGGATCTTGGCTGAAAGCAGAGAATACCAGAAGAATGTCTATCTGTGTTTCATTGATTATGCGAAGGCATTTGACTGTGTGGATCATAACAAACTGTGGCTGACTCTGAGAAGAATGGGAATCCCAGAACATTTAATTGTGCTAAT